TTAAAGGAGTCCCGGATTCCTTGAAGTCAACACACAGACTCCTGGTTAAGCATCCTTACTGTAAAAAATTCCAGAATATTCAGCTGCCGCTGAAATTCCAGCGAGGGACCAGGGAAAACCCGGCTGAGTCGCCCAGGCTGAATTGCAAAGCAACTTCACTTCTTTACATTCACGTCGCTTAGTCTCTTTGGACAGCAGGTGGCGCCCGCGTCCGCCTCAGCGCCAAGCTGGTCGGATTCCCAGCACCTGCTTTTGGGAAAGCGGCGTGGAGCGGTCTCGGTCACTGCAGTGTCTACAGAACTGTTTCTCAGTCTCTGCACGTATGGAAAAAGGATGCCCTGTTCAGGGGGCGAGAAGCAGCCCAGGAGGCTTCGCCTTCTTTGCGGCACGCAGCTGGAGACGCCGCGGAGCCTGGTGCTGAGCCCGCAGCAGAAACCCCGCGCACCTGGGCGCGCCCTGCGGCCTCGCCCGGGGCCTGGGAGCAGGGCTCTGGGCAATAGCAGAAAACTCAAAAACCCTTAGGAAATATTTATGAGTTTCCAAAGAGGGAAGATGAAACCTTTCCGATGACTTACAAGCTATGAAAGCAATTGCTGTTTGGTTTCTGGAAACAGTTCCCCAGGGCCATCTCTTTAGTCCTCAGGCCAGGCTGTGGCTCTTTTCTGGCCCTGGGCACGGGTGTGGATGTCCATCGACTTGGCCAGAGGAGAGGCTGAATTTCTCTGAAGCCATTTTAGGCTCTCTGAAGCTTTAAGGCAGAGGTTAGGTAAAAGTTAAAACCTGGAGACAACATATGGGCTTGGGGAGAGAGGAGCACCCTTCCAATTTAGTGTTCGGCAAAGTCAGTCCCAGAAGACAGTAGGTGTTGTAAGCCACCCAGGGATGGGCGATAGGGGGTCGTGAAAACTAGCCCTTTCCCATTGGCATGTGTGTTGGAGTACCTTGCTTCTCAAAGTCTGGTTCATGGACCAATTGCAACATTTCCTAAAAATTCAGATTACTGGGTCTTCTACCTGCTAAAACAGATGGAAGGGGCTGAGGGTGGTGACAACCTCAATATTTTTAATAAGCTCCCTGAATGATCCTCCTATTCTCTGGGTTTGAGAACCACAGCCCCAGCTCTCAGTACCCCAAAGTGGCAGTTCAGATAAAATTCCTTCCACGCAGCTGCTTGGGAGGCTGAGGCAGGAGGATCGAAAGGTCAAAGTCAGCCTCAGCAACTTAGTGAGGCCCTAAGCAACTTAGACCCTATCTCTAAATAAAAAATAAAAAGTTCTGGGGATGTGGCTCCGTGGTTGACCGCCCTTGAGTTCAATTCCTGACAAAAAGAAAAAAGTTCATTTCCCAATTGACTCTAATTCTAGCAGCCAGGGGTGCAAATTAGGTCACCTAAACTGACTAATCCTTATTTCCTGTCTAGTAGTCCTCATCTGTGAAACCTCAGGTTCTCTTTAAAAGTCTTCCCCAATTGTTCTGTGAGCCCCTGCGGGTTCCTTTTCTCCCACTACCTCCCTAATAACTGCTTCCTGCAAGTTTCATTAGAAGTAACCATAAGAGTGACTTCTGCCGTTCTTGTTCCTGGTGCATCTGTGAGCTCTCTCCTTCCTTCAGGGTTAGCCCCAGCCCTCCCAAAGCCTCAGAGACTCAAGGGCTAGATGGAATTATCTTCCCTTTGGGTCTCACTGTGTTCAAGTCCTGCTTTGTTCCAAGCAGAATCCTCCTGTTTCCAATGCAGGATTAGACTTTGTCACTAAGGCCCAGAAGCAGCACTGTATCTACTTCAGTGATTCAAAGTCCTTTGAGGAGGGAGCCTTTCCCAAGATTGTATCCAGTACTTTCTTTGACCCACCAGTTAGCTGGAAACATCTCTCAAAACCGAAAACCAAAAACAATCACAAAAAGCCCTAGGACTCTTGATTTTTCCTGTCTCCGCCAAGTAGATCATGCTGAGCTATTTCCAATACCATTGACCATTGGCCGATCATTTCTTATATTTCCAGCCTTTCTGTGCCCACATTGGCTCATATATTCCTCACAGTGATTGTGTGAAGAAGATTCTACTATTGTGCCTGTTTTATCAATGAGGAAACTGAGGCACAGGGAGGCTAGAACTCTTTTCTGGGACCACACAGCTGGTGAGTAGCAGAACAGGAATTTGAACTGAGCTCTGTCTGACCCCAAGTCCCACTCCTTAGTGACCAGGCTGTCCTGCTACTTTCCCCTGATATCTTCTGGACATTGGAATCTATCAGTCACATAACAATCTAGTAAGAGGGAAAAAATTCAGGGTTGGGGCCAGGCAGTGTAGAGTCTTGTTCAAGCCCTTCACTAGCTTGGTGACCTGGGAAAGAAACTTTCTACAGCCTCAGAGATTCTTGTACCTGCTCAGCCTATCATAAGAAAATGGTGATGAGGCAGCACCGTGGACATGGAACTGCTTGGTTAAGTCCTCTGGACACCTACGCTGTTACCTCTCACTTTCTCTAGATCCTCCTTGTTCAGATCTTCATTTCTAGCCTGTCATCATGGCCTCGGACAAGCACCCCCCACACACACTCCAGCCTGGAGTCCCTTCTCCTGTCACTCTCTTCTGCTGCCCAGCAATCCTTGTGAAACACAATTTGGTTGTCTTCCCTTTTCTATTTGCAGATCTTAGGCAGCTCCATGTACATTGGTGTGGCTCCTAGGGAGGCCTTGACCTCCTCTGGCTTCCTTCCGCAGCCCCATTTCCCCCTGTTTCCTCTGCTTCTGTCTCTTGCCCACGTCTGCTCTGCCAAATCCTTCAGACCCTGCTGAGATGCCATCTCCTCCACAAGTCTTTTCTGATTCTGTGCAGATGGATACGAAACCTTGAATTCCCAAAGCCCTACTCCAGTGGCACCTAGTAATAGCAATAGCTGTTCACTGACCAATTACCATGTGCCCGGCACTATGCTACGTATGTCACATGCCCTACCATAACTGATCTTCCTAACAACCCTCTAAGATGGTATAACTACTCCTACTTCAGAGAGCAGGAAACTGACCCTCAGTTAGTCACTTGCCCCAAAAGACACAATTAGTAAATGGAAGAATCATGACTCTCACCCAGTTCTGACTCTGTGGTTCTAATGTTTAACCCGTGTTACATAAACTTTTTTTTCTACTTTGTGCACAGTTTTTAAAAAGATGTTTTTTTGAGTGACAGTCCTATCTCTCCTTTCAGACTGAAACTGTCATGAGAGCAAAGACTAGCTTTTATTCTCTTTTGAGACAGTGGGATCACAAAGGAGATCAAGGTGATTGAAGATAGTTGTTGAGTGAATGAAAGAACAAATGAGTGAGTGAGGCACTATACATGTGTCAGTGGCTGCTGGGTTTCAGGCGGCAGGTAACACTATAGGAGAGGACAGTCCCTAGGTTTCAGCACTTTTCTTTGGTCGCTGGCAGATTTGGATGCCTCTCTTGAAGACGCAGTCTGAATGAGGCCATCAGCAGGGCCAATGCCGTTTGTCTTTGCTAATCCCAAAGAGGTTTTCTTCCTCAAATAGCTTGTCTCTGAGGATTGTGCATTGAGGAGAGAACAGGAAGTCAAGACCTGCAGAGTTTCAAGGTTGTGTCTGGCCCAGGACAGACAGTAGCCTGGAGAGGGGCAGGGACTTAGAGGCCAAACCAGGACCAGAGGCTTGGCCTCAAACTCCTACCTTTGCCAAGGGACAAGGGAGAGAGCACTGATCTGGAAACAGCAGCGTGGTTCAGCAGCAAAGGCCCAGATGAAATTCTTCAGATGTCTTTCCTCTTCATCAGAACTGTCTCCCACCTCCACTAAGTTAGAGGGAAGACCCCCTGCATGTGTTCCTATAGCACTCTGTGTAATCGCTGTTTCCACACTCAGGGCAGGAAACTACATGCGCATTCATTTGAAAATATTTATTGAGCACCTACTATGTGTCAGGGACTGCTTTAAGTGCTGAGAATAGAACTGAGCAGAACAGGCAGAAATCCCTACCCTCAGGGAATGCACATTTCCAACATGTGTGGGGAGATAGACCACACACATGTAAATACCTTCAAAAGGGTAGACTAGGTGGTGATTAGTTCTATGGAGAAAAGGAAAGTGGAGAGGGCGGTAGGGAGTGCTGGGTGGCAACGGTAATGGGGAAGTCAAGCCAGGTGACCTCTGAGAAGGTGACACTTGAGGAGAGAGGTGAAAGATGTGAGGGAGAAAGGGGCTCTAGGCAGATGGAACAGCAAGCCCAAAGGCCCCGAGGGGGGAGCCAGGCTATCCCCCATTTGAAGAAAAGCAAACAGGCCAGTGTGTCTGGTGAGGTCAGAGAGGGACTGGGAACCAATTGCACCTGTGTCCCCTTCCACCCACACTTTAGTGAACTAACTGGTGGTGGTGGTGGGCCTCAGACTCCAGCCAAATCAGCTGGAAGTAAGTGCCCACTGGGAAGCCAGACAAAAAGTGTCAAATTCTTGGCTTTTAAATTTCAAAGGGTAGGTCCACAGTATAGGATGGGAAACTGGGAAGATGCAAATTCTTCCAAATCCAACCCACATATGGGGCAAGTCCCCTTCCAAGAGCCCAGAGCACTCCACCATCCTCTCCCATCCTCCCCAAAGGGAGGTGGAGCTTGATGGTCTGGACAAGGGAAGGGTGGCAGACCACCCTAGACCTTGTCCCTCTTGAATAGGATCACTCGACTTTCTTACCTCTCAGTGAGACTGGGTCTGGTCTCCGTTGAAGTTGTATTTGCAGAGCTAACAGGGGTCCAGATTCATGGCCTTTGTGTGTTCTCTCTGGATGGGACCACTATATATTGCTGGAAGGCAGTTGTGCCAAAACAGGAATTGGGACCAAGGGGATCTAGCAAAACTATTGTCCACAGACCCATGGGAGGGCCCTGCGTGCAGCTTCACTGTATGATCGTCCAAAACCCAGAATCCATTCTGACCTGAAGGGGAAGGAAAGAAACAGAAACCCCAAAGCCCCGCTTGTCACAAAGTACTCAAAGGCGCACAGGAGAAATGATCTTTAATGTCTGACTTTGTTTCCAATCCCATCAAAGTGCCATCATTCATTGAAGAACAAGGAGGGGCTTAAGAGGTACGAAGTCACGAGACAAACAGCACCCTGGCTGGCTGTCTCCGGGGCGCACACCCGCTCTGCCCGCGAGGGCGGCCCCCAACACACGCACACATGCAGACCACACGTACACCGCACAGACACACGCACGTGTACCCACAGTTAAATACATGAAGAGAGAGACTCGTTTATATATATACAGAGAGAAGAGAGAGAGAGAGAGAGAGAGAGAGAGAGAGAGAGAGAGAGAGAGAGGTAAATCCCGGCCGGCGTCGGGTCCCCCAGGCTCTCAGCATGCTCGGCCCAGCTCGCGGCGCTGTACCTGGCACCCATGCCCCTGCCAGAAAAGCAGCTGCCCCTCTCCCGCCCCCCTCCCCCGCTCCCTCGGGCCCTGTCCCCCGGCGCTGACACTCCCCTCCCGCCCTCCGCCCGCCCTCCCCCCACGGTGGCTCCTCCCGGGGAAAGGAAGCTGTGCCGGGGCCTAGAACTGCCCGGGCGCCAGGGGCATGTTGCTCTTGAAGCCCGGCTGCCCGTTGGCCACGTCGGCCTCGGCCTCGCAGGCCCCGATGGCGTCCCCGTCGGTCCCGGGGCTCTCGGGCTCCGCCAGCAGCTTGAAGGTGAAGAGCGGGCCCGAGTCTTGGCGGCCGCGGCGGCCGGGCGGCTCGGGCAGGCTCAGGAGGGCTCCGGGCGCCTTCCACTCGGGGAAGGCGTACAGCTCGACGGCCGGTGGCGCGCCGCGGCCCAGGTAGCCCGGGCTCGGCGACGCCGAGGGTAGGGTCCGCTGGCTGCCGCTCAGGCAGCTGCCGCTGTCGTCCAGCGAGTCCTTGCGCGACTGCGAGCGCTCCAGCGAGCCGCCGCGCGTCCACGGCCGGTAGGTGTAGGCGCAGCCGCCCAGGCGGCGGCGGCGACGGCGGCGGCGGCGGCCGCGGCACTGGCACCCGAGGATGCGCACGAAGGCGCGCTTGAACTCCTTGCTGGAGCACGGGTAGATGATGGGGTTGAGGCAGCTGTTGAAGTAGCCCAGCCAGAACACCACCTTGAACACGGCGTCGGGGGGCTTCAGGGTGGAGAACAGGGAGCCTGCAGCGGGAAGGGGTGGGGAGGGCGCGGGCAGAAACAGACAGCAGCTGGTGAGTATTCGGCTCTCTCCTCCTACCTCCCCCTAAGCAGTGCCAGCCCGCGCCTTTCCTGATCCCTGCACTTTCCCCAAGCCACTGTCTGCCTGGAAGGACAGCCTTTCTTTTCAAAATGAAAGAATCCCACGTTCCCTCATAGGGACAACCTCAGTCATTTCCCTTCTGTCCTGAAACCTTTCCCGATTGAGTGAAACAGCTTCTGAGCTCCGTTATATGTAGGTTTACACATAGGATGTCTATGTATCATCTAACATATAGATGGCAGTACCCCACTCTACCCATGTGACAACAATCCCCATCATTGCACATGTCTTTGGGGGACAGGCTTTGTGGCAGGCACTCTACCTATAAATATATGCTGATTTGTTTCCATGGCAGATAAGAGATGTGCGAAAGACCTAAATCCAAAAGGCAGACTTTTAAAGGTAAAAAATAAAGGCAACCTAAACGACTATCTTTTTGATCTTGGGGGTGAAGAAAAATGACTTAGCACTTCAAAAGGATAAACCACGAGGCAAGAATGGGAAGAAGTTATTTACAATATCCCAAAGAGTTAAGGGATTGATATTTAGAAGACAAGGAACTCCTTATATAAACAAGAAAGAACATTCCCAGGAGAAACAGGAGAAACATGGGCAAAGAAAATTTATGTAATAGGAAGCCCAAAGGCTAATGAGCATATGACAAGATGCACAAAATATTAGGCAGTCAAATAAATTACAATGAAAACCACAAAGAGATGTAACATATCTGTTAGGCTGGCACACATTAGGAAACTGGATAGGCAGAGGTGCAGGGACATGGATAGCTTTCTGCATGGCTGAGGCTCAGACATTTTGGAGAAGACCTTGGCACCACTTGGTCCAGTTAAGTGTACACGTTGTGACCCAGCTCTTCTGCTCTAGGCTACAGATGTCAATGTATTTTCACAAAGTCTATAAGGGCACATGTACAAGGATGCTCAAGGTAGTGTAGTTTGTGGTGACAGGGAGTTGGAGAAAACCTGGGTGTCCCTCCATGGGAACGATAGAATGAGGTAGATGCACTCATGGAGATTAAGTAGTGCTTAGAGACCCAGGATGACATGTCCACAGAGTGATATTGAAGGATCTTAAGTACATCATTCCTTATGAAAAAAAAAAAGGAGGAAATAGAATGAGATTTATGACAAAATATCACTTAAGTAATTCACCACACAACCACAAGCATTTTGTAGAAATACTCTCAAATTAAAATGACATGTTAAACACAGAATGTTTGCCCAAGGGTAAAGGCAGATGGACATGGGAATGGAGAATGGGAATAAAAGGAAATAAATCATTAAAATAAGAGAGAGAGAGTCTGCCATAGACTGATGAAGATGAGATGTTATGAATCCCGAAACATGATTAACTCATTCCTCTGAATTTGAGATCCAAAAACATTTTATGACAATATCAAATTAAAAACCATTTCCATTTTAAGTATAAGGCAAACAAGACTCGGAGAGGGTAAGTGTCTTGCCCCAGGTCACACAGAATATTTGCAATATAGCTAAGATTTAAGCTATTTGAATACAAAATATGTTTTTGAAATAAAAAGATGATATCAGTAATACTTTTTTTGGAAAAGATGGGAAAATGCAAAAAAGCCAAAAGGAAGAAAAATATTTTTAAAAAGTAAGCATAACCCTGCAATGCAGAAAAATCACATTTTGGCACATAAACTTTCAGATTTTTTTTCTGTTGTATATATACATTTGCATATTAAAAATGGGATTGCACTTTACAGAATATTTTGTATTTCTAAGCCACATCTGAACCCTGTCACCCAGACTGTGGTGTAAAAACTTTTATTTTCCTCTGTCAGACTGTGAGTTTCCCAAGGACCTGATCTGTGGGATCATCTTTGAGTTTATTTATTGAATGAAGATTGAGGATGCCTAGATATCTGAATGGGGGGTGGTTAGCACTTGTCAAGACCAGCCATTTTGCATATGGAGACAATGAAGATCTGAGAGTAGCTGAAAATTCCACAGGTGATGGCACGAAAGAATTCCTATTTTGATTTTGGGTTATGCTTGCATTTCCCCCTTGGAGCACTTCACCTTCTTGATTGTATGAGGTTTGGCTATTTTACAGGGAACCCAAGTCTTCTCTGCTTAGCAACCCAGTGGTGGTAGCTGGTGGGAGATGACTGGGCTTCTGGTGCAGGACCGAGGTAGTCAGGGATTTAATCTGGGAACAGGGTCATCCATACCTGGAATAGAAATGCTAACTCCCAAGTTCTGGCCTCTTTTCTAAACTCAGAGAGGAGATATGAGAGACGGCTACATTCTAGGTTTGCTGTGGTGAGGCAGATGGCAATGTCACCTCATAGTCTGATTTGTGACAAGGGCCAGGTCATTAGGTTTGCATCCTACCACTGAAGACAGTCCTTTGAATTAAGGCACCACACAGAAGGCCCTACCCGAGATGCAGCTATGACGTGTGAACACCTAGAATCCCAAGATGGAGTGGGCTGTCTTTGTCCATGGTGATGGGCTTGTTTGCATCACTGCATCTGAAGGGCCTAAGAAACTAGTCTTGACAAAGTGGGAAGCAGGAGAGACTGAGGTAAGGCTAGGGAGCCTTGTGCATTACCCCAGGAGGGTAAATGTTGATGAGCCTGTGTACAGGTGGCACGTCCTCTTGTGTGAGGACATGAGGGATGGCAGCTGAGAATGAAAAGACAGTTGTGGCCAAAGGTTGGGAGGGCCTAGAGCAGGGAAGCCATGTTTACTGAGAGCAATAACTTTCCTTGGTGCTAACTCTGTTGAAGATGGTGGTGAAACAGGGAACAAATGAAATAGTGGGGACGCATCCCGGGGGGTCAACTCTTATGAAGAATGTATAAATAGCAGTAATGCTAATAGCCGCCATTCACATAGCGTGTGTGCTCTACAGGAAATGTGCTAAACTTTTTGCACCGTTAGCCCGTTTAATAATCTTAGGAGTGGGAAGTCAGTCTTGAGGAAGGTGCTATTGGGTCCCATTTTTTGACACCAGGACACCAGCATATGATGGTGGTAGCTATTTAAATTTTTAAACACTCATCCATTTTTTTCATTCATTAATTCTTTCCAGAATTACTGAGCTCCTGACACGTGCCAGGCACTGACAAGCTGTGAATATACAGAGCTGAGTTTGGGATGTGGCATGTGCCCTGCAGTAGCTAAGGGGCCATTGCAACAGAGTACACGTGGCCTTAGGATATGGGCATAAATGTCACTGTGTCCCCCTGGGCAGCATAGCATATCTTTTCAGATTCTTCTTTACCTTCTTTATTACTGGAGGCACTTTGCCACGAGCAAAGGCAGGTTGGATCTTTGCCTTTATTTCTTATCAAGTATCCTTCCAGGACCATAACCCTGAAAAGTATTGAGCCTAAGTAAGGGAGTGCAGATGACCTTTCTCATGAGCATTTATAGCACATTTTGAGTTTGGGCACTTTGAGCTGTTACTCCTCTTAGAAGAAAGCCGTTTTTTTGGGTCCTCAATTGAGGCAGTGTGGGCAAGTGGTTGGAGCACAGGGTTTTGGTTGACATGAACCTACTTGTTATTGAATGTCCTCTTTAGGAATTTGCTGTTTGGTTTTAGAAATGTTAATTAGTTAATTAGCTTTCTCAACCTCAGGTTTCTTATGTGCAAAATGGGAAACATATCTGTGTTAAAAAATGCTTATGAATACATGAAAATATCCATGTAAAATACTTTTTCTGATACCGGGGATTGAACTCAGGGGTACTTAACCATTGAGCCACATTCCCCAGCCCTATTTTGTATTTCATTTAGAGACAGGATCTCACTTAGTTGCTTAGCGCCTCACAGTTGCTGAAGTTGGCTTTGAAGTCATGATTCTCCTGTCTCAGTCTCCCAAACCATTGGGATTATAGGCATGTGCCACTGCGCCTGGCCATGTAAAATACTTTGACACGTGGCCTGACAACTTGAAAATAATAATAAATGGTGACCACTTTGAAGTATGTAGTTTTCTGTCTACATGTTCAGGAGATTGGTTCTAGGACCTCCTGTAGATATCAAAATCTGCAGATGCTCAAATTCCTCATATGAAATGGCATAATATTTGCATATAAACTATATACATCCTCCTTTATACTTTGAATAACCTCCAGATTACTTATAATATCCCAAAGGATGCCAACACTATTTAAATAGCTACTACACTGTACTCTCTTTCTCTCTCTTTTTTCTTTTCTTTCCTCCCTGCCATCCTTGCTTCCTTCCTTCCTTGCAGTGATTGAACCCAGGGGTTTTTAACAACTGAGCCACATCTCTAGCTCTTTTTATATTTTATTTTGAGACAAGGCCTTGCTTAGTTGCTAAGGCTGGTGTAGAACTTGCCATCCTCCTGCTTCAGTCTCCGGAGTCACTGGGATTACATGTCTGCCACCATGCCTGCCTATACTGTAGTCTTTAGAGAATAATGATAAGTAAAAAAAAAAAAAAAATCTGGACTTGTTCAGTATAGATGCAATTTTCCCCCTGAATATTTTCAATCCAGGGTTAGCTGACTTGGATTCAGATCCCTCAGATACAGAGGCTGCACTGTGCTTCACAGCTAGCTCAGTCAACTTCCACAGGAACTCTGTCCCATCAGCCCCATCGACATCAGATGGAGTTCTTTCTTCTGCACCCCATATAAAATGTACAAGCAGATCACCCTGTTCTCTTGTTTGCTTGTTGCTATGTTAAGCCATTCCCGGGCTGGCTGAGTCCTTGTTCACCACCCAGGTTGTAAATTCCTTCTGGTCAGGAGACATATTTTCATTTATTTTCTTTTCCCCTCCAGATCTGTATATTTTTATTACAAAAATGATACATGCTGTGTTAAAAAATTACATGTTACAAAAAAAAATCTATATTGAGTGAAAATTCTTTCTCCATTCAAGCACCAGGGACCAGA